AAATCGTCTTTTGCTTCGTGAATCTAGACAATGACACAATTGCCTATAGAAAACGGAAGAAGAGGAATCGCGTCGAAGTGGCGGTCTTTTAATCAAAATCCAAAACATATCACAAATTATAATACTGCTCACAAATTTTTTTCGAAGAACTCTAGGCAAGCCAAAAATACTTCTTACACGAGGGTGCAAAAAGAAAATGTTTACCTTGCTATAGACAACAGCCATACAACAGGGTTTTCTGGACAACAGCCCTAAAAGTTTTTACTTTTGAGGTCTCATTGTCGACTTTATTGTCGATCGTGATGTTTCTTGAGATGGGGCTACCAGGTACGCGAATTTTTCCACTGACATGAGGGGGGTTCCGCAGACATTAAAGATGGATTTTTTTAGTTATCAGATGGTGCCGGTGGATGAATTTGTCGGTTCGAATTTTAGGCAGCCGTGGGCAAAGAGGCCTGAAGCGACAGAGAAACTTTACCGACAAAGACAAAGAAGACTGAAACTGCCATTTCTGACTTGTTAGACGTCACAAGGCAGCCATACCCAACCGTAGGTTCTGCAACCCCTGAGGTTCGGACAAGCGCCCTAACTGGTTTGCCACCAGCACATCGTCCTGTCGGTTTCGATAGGATATATAGACGCTCACCGATCGCGGAACTCACTCGTCCCGCTTCGGTCCTTGGGACTCAATATGGAGACCCATCTGCCGCATAACGGCTAGTAGTATTTATGGGCAGAACAACTTTACCGGCAAAGGCAAGGGGGACTTGAATGGCCCGTTCTGGCCTATTAGACGTCATCAACCAGCCGTTCCAGTCTCCCTTGCCTTTGCTAGTAAAGTAGTTCTGCCCATACTTACTACTAGCCGTTGTGCGGCTGATGGCGGGTCTCCAGACTGAGACCTTATGACCAAGGCGGGACGATTGTGTCCCGTATCGCGATTAATGAACGCTGCTCTACCAAAGAAGTCTGTGTTCCACTGCAAGTCCGCTTCTGCCGTCGTAGTTTGCGTGCAAGCATCCGCGAATGGGAAGCCACGGAGGCGTTCACTGGGATTTGACTTAGATCATTTCATGCATCTGATGTAGGGTGATTGACCGCCGAGAAGATAATCGACGTTGGTTACTGGTTTACGCCTATTGTCCTGATGCAGAGGATGAGACTGGACATGGAGGGAGCAATTAAAGCGCACTACTTCATCCAGTTTTTTCATCGCGAGATTGTCGAAGGGTGTTATGGTTCCCAGATCTGAAGCCAGGAAAAACGGATTGGGCTGAACAACTTTACCAACGTGTAAAGAACGTACAAGGGGCCCTGCAAGCAGTTGCTACAAGTTGTCTACCCATGCAAGTTTTGTCCTGTGTCCGCCGTCGAGGTTATCAGCCATCAGCGCGTGTGTGCGTCTTTCAATTTATTTTGGGGTCCGCCAGCCAATCAGAGTAGGGGCAGCGTTGATTGGCCTCAAACACTCGGAAGTCCCAGCAGCGAATCCATAGGGAGCGTGAGGCGGACAGAAGGGCTGTTACACAAAGCGGTGGAGAGCAAGGAATCGCAGACTGCCACAAAATTATCGGGAACAGTCTACTTTCCCGTGGTATACGCTGCCACCTCGTCGTCTAACTATTTGTGGGAATTACCACGGTAATCCGAATTCTGACATGAACTTTATCATTCCATCGCAGTCTGTCATGTCCGCGAAGGCAATGCGCTGTTAGTTTGAACTTCATGACATCTTTTGCAGTTGCAGACCGCGAAGACAATGTCCACAGTTACGTTTTGTTTTCGCATCTTCAGATGGTTCTGTTGGCCTCGAATGAAAGGTCTGCCTGCAGTGTTAGTGAAGAAGATGTATCGATGCATATGATGGAGTTGTCGGCCCTCCCCCCTTGCGTTTCCATAGGTAGACGATGGTGACGTCTCTAAAGTCATCGAGAAGTTATCATAGTCGCCGAATCCCCAGGAGCAGTGAAATAAGCATGTACAGCAGATGGGGGCAGCGGAAATTGTAAATTACAACTATTAGAAACACCCTTAACATGCTTGCTCCTTTGCTCCAGGATCTACAACTCCTCCAACAGTATGTTTGCTTGATCTTGACTTAGCAATAGCCCAGTGGCCTTCGCTTGTGAACCGCTGTCTTCTTTATGCCTTCGGTGAAGTTTGTCATCTCACTGCGGTCGCGCCTCCCTCGATTTCTTTAAATACGCCAATCAGTAATTCGTCTTTCCGCGCCTCAGCCTCATCTGAAGAAGGCCTGTGTAGCAAGTGGCCCGAAAATGTGCTGCGTCGCAAGTGCACTGGGACAGATCAGAAAGCAGACGCGCACAGGGTACGTGTTTCTTGGACCACCCTGGGTTTTCCATCAGTCCTAAAATACTGTCGTACATGTATGCCCCATGGCCTAGACTCACGCCTTCATGCGCGCCCCGAACGCGCGTAATCTGACAGTCCGACCTTCGTGCCGGACGATGCTGCACGGAAAGTTTAAGCAGGTACGATGACTTACGTGTGAATTAGTTTATAATGAGTGCAGACTTGCGCTGCATCTAACGGACTCTTTTCTCCCAAACCTGAACACGGTGTCAAGACATAGTTAAGATGATCGGGGGTAAGGGAGGGCGCAGATGGATTGGTGCGGCGGTGCTCGCCACTTGGCCGGAATTTTAACCAACAACAACGCGACGGGCCAAAAAGACGGAGATAATTGGTCAGCCATGCTCACAACCTGTTTACTGAGCGGACGCATAATCGCATCTACCGGCAGGTAAACAGGTATCAGGAAACTACCAGCGCATACCAGGCAGCGAGTAACGTGGTTTGCTGTTCCTGGCATAGGAGATGTTTACAGACTTTTAGGCCAGTGCTTTAAGTACTCCCCCGTACTATGGGTGACCGTGACGTAAATTACGGGTAGTTGGACTGAGGATTGGGATTAACGTTAGGGTGAAATTTAGAGGACGGGGATGACTGCCCCTTGGAATTTAACGCAGGCCCACCTCTAGTAAGGCAGGAGTGCTTACACACGCGTCCAACCAAGCCTACATTCAACTGAGAAGTATACTACTAACAGGTTGGCATAGTAGGCCCGTGCGGTGAGTAAATGTGCTAGGGCAGTGAGGGCAGTGGGGGTGGATGCGGCGAATATATGTTGCTGCTCCAAGCATATGTTCGCCAGTCTCAGTGCGATGGATTCGCAAGTGGTCAACCAGGCCGATGTGCGAGGTGAAGGTGCGATCGCAATGCGGACAGGTCGGCATTGAGTCCACATCGCTGATGTTGACGGCGGGGAGTTTGAGGTTCGTCAGTGTTAGAATTGTGTGCAGTGATGGTGAGTACAGGAACCGCCACAGCGGATGTTGAGGCGATGGAGGTTGGCAGTAGGGATTCAAGAGGGCGGTCAGTGTTGATTTTCCATGTGGAGGCCGGGGCGGATATGGACGGGGGCATATCGTGTAGTGTCGTCCGAATGCTGCTGTTAGCTCGACGATGTTCAGTAAGACCGACTGATGTCCGTAACGTCCGCTCACATGGTGTGGAGGTCGGGGACGGTGGAATGTTCGCGTTCCGAGGTGGGGGCAGTTGAGATTTACGGGCTTCACGACTGACCTTCGTGTCGGTCATGCGATTAGCTTTGGAGATTTCTGCGCCTGTCTTCGCTGTCCTCCTCCACGACAGCCGTTCATGGACTAGCTCTTCCACTTGGTCGGGTGCATCTACGGGCGCTTCAAGAAGGTGTTTAATGTGTCCTCGTGGCGCCAGGCATGTCCTCCTTATAGGCGGGAACCCGCAGCGACATCTTTATAGAAAAGTCGTTTGGGTAGCCGCTCGTCATTTATGCGCTCGAGCTGGCCGCTCCAACGTAACTGCAGTTATATCAGCATTGCGTGAATACTGAGAATACCTGTCAGTTCCAGTAGGTCTGTGTCCGGAACCCAGCCCTACCACCTCAGCTTTTCTATCAGCCGAAGCCCGCTGAGTTGGAAGTGGCTAAGCCTCTGCGCCTGCTTTTTGTACACCGTTCAGATCTCTGCTCTGTGCAGCATCGTGGTTGCCGCCGCTCGCGTTGACTTGAGGTGGATTGTGGACAGCGTTGGGTGGCGGCTAGAGAGAGATGAAGTTGAAGAGCCAGTTAGCGAACATATGTTTTCGGTAGCTCATCATCAAGCCGACGAATTTACCTGGGTAATGATCAGTCTAATTGCAGACAGGATATAAATGTGTCTCAGGGGCAGGGTTAATCGGACTCCATATTCCCACGCCGACCGCACGACGGAGTTAGCGTGTTGAGGACGGTGGAGTTGGGGTGGGTGGGTGGGGGTTCTGGTTAGATTTTAAGCGCTGTGAGTGCGTGTGACTGCCTTCCGGGCGTCGGGAGGCGTGTGATCGCTGTCTGGAGTCGACCAGGGCAGACAGACTGCTTGTGTCAGCGGCTTTAGACAACAGAGTGCCGGGTTCGTCAGTCGAATTGCCACTGTTTCGGCTGTGGTTAGCACCCGTTTGCGCAGACCTTTAGAGTGGTGTGCCGGTGCCCAGTAGATAACTTTAAAAGCTTCTTTAGCGTCGGGTTGGTGGTGCGTATCGATTAGATGTGCGAGAATTGAACCCGAAATCGATCGATTTTCATCTCTACCCAGCCAGGCAGGCATGTTTTCGCGTATTCTCTTTTCCAGACGGCGTGTTGTAGGCAAATATTGCTTTATTTAAAGTATTTTAAAGTATAGATCCAACATTTTTGCAAAAAGGGCTTCATTCATTGTGGACACAATATAAATTAAAAATTTACTCATGAGTCATATAGGTTTACAGAGAAAGAAACAAGTACTGTGAGAACAAAACACGTCTTATTTTACTGTGTTTTTGTATTTTCACACGTGAGAGAGCGTGCAAGGCTTGACAACACAGAAGGCTGACAAGGCAAGAGATAGGTCAAAAGCCACGGCGCGTGAGGCGCTAGGACTTCGCAGAGACTAGTTCAGAATGCAGGAGATTGGCGACGTCACCTAGAATTCGATCAGCAAATTGGGTTCTTCCGTGTTGATGACCAGAACAAAGTTGTCGCAGACGGCGGCGAAGAGGTCCATGCTCCTTTGCTTGTCCCCTTCCGAGGTGGCGTTGAGGGCGCAGTCGTTGACGAAGAGGAGTTCATGGACGGTGGTTGTGGATACACGCGACTGGAAGTGCCTGTAGTTGAGGAGGTTACAGTCTGTCCTGTCGACGACGCGGGTCCCGGGACGCTCATTACGGCAGGCATCTTTTAGCATGGCAGAGAACATGAGGCTTAAGAGGGTAGACGCGTAAACATAGCCCTGTTTCACTCCGTTGGTCACTGCAAATGCCTCTGAGACGGCACCATTGTCCGCGCCATCACGCCATCATGAAAGTGACGCACCATGGGGGTGAATCGTCCGGGACAGTCGAATTGCTGCATGATTTTTCACAGTTCTTCAGATTCCTGTTCCAGATGGTTGTTGAGACGTTTGAGGGAGATGCGAGAGAAGATCTTCCCAGCTATGTTCAGCAGAGAAATGCTTCGATGGTTGTCGCAGGGTCGGCGTTTTCGCTTCCGCTTGTAGAGATGGACGATTGTGGCGTCCTCGAAGTCCCGAGAGACCTGTCCTTGACGCCAAATTTCATAGAAGAGCACTGCTAGATGGTCCATAAGGTGAGGGTCACCGTTCTTGTAAATCTCAACAGGAATCGTGCCTGATCTATGCGATTTACCGCTAGAGAGCCGCTTCACGATCCCAAAGGTCTCGTGGAGGAACGACGGGAGGTCGAGGTTGGCGTTGATCACCATCTGGGGCAGACGGTCGATGGCGGCGTCGAAAATGGTGGGGAGGACGGTTGAAGACGCCTCTGAAATGCTCGGCTCACCACTGTAGAATTTGTCTTCTCAATGAGTAGGGTACTGCCGTCAGTGTCGCGAAGAGGAGTGGTTCCTTTGGTAGGCGGACCGTAGACATCTTTGATTGAGGCGAAGAAGTTCTCCCATTCGTTACGATACGTGAACCCTTGAAATCCTCTGCCCTGCGAGCCGTCCAAGCGTTCATCCTTTTCCGCAGCTGCTGCACAGGACGGCGACCATGGTAAAAGGCTACTTTGTTGTGGTAGGCTTTGTGCGGGCGGTTCTTTTCGACGAGCAGGTTGCTGATAGCGGCGCCAGTGTCGTCGAACCAACCCTGATGTTGATGACGTGCGCGGCCGAGAACAGCCAAGGCGGTCGACTAGACTGTGTCCGTCAGTTGGCACCCTCGGTTCTCCACGGAGTTCTCGGCAGCGGCAGTAATTGGAAGGTTGGCCAGCCGTTGAGCTTCTCCGTTGCTGGTATGGAAATCGTGAGCAGACACATTTAACAAAACAGTATTCAACCTACCTGGTTGTTGCTTATCATAAGACCTTCTGCGCGGCTTCAGGGAATACTCCTCTTGGAGATGACACTCAGGATCGCCTTTGCCACCAGCACATCCTGCTGGTCCCGCCTCCGGACAAGGACATAGTCCAACAGGTGTCAGCTTCGTGACCGATGGTGCATCCAGGTGGCCTTCCCTCGCATCGGAGGGGAGGGGTGCGGAAAAAAGTGTTCGTCAGGATTGGCCGGTGTTCTGCGCAGGTTCGTAGAAGGAGCTGGCTACTGTCATTGGAGCAGTTGAGACTATGGGTCCCTTGCACTCCTGTCCAGGCAGCAGGTTCTCTACCGAAGTTGGTGTCGAAGCCACCAAGAGCATCAGCTTATCCGCCTTTGACACAGACGCCAGGAGGGCAGGCCAATCATTTTTTGAGCGCTGGCGCTGATGATGTTAGCGAATGTGCCTCCCTGGCGGGGCAGGCGCAGGCTCATCAGGCGTCCGATACCCTGTGGCAGATAGGGCAGTCGTTCCACGATGTCGTTCCGGATGGACGGTATTTTTTGCATCCATAAACAACTGTCAGCGTGCTTGAGTGGTATTTTAGGACGCACATCCTGACCTTCTCCACCACGGAGAGGTAAGCAGTATTCCCCTAAATAACGTTGTTTTTTCACCTCAGGCCACTGTCGACCTTTCCCTTGGGTCACGGTACTACTACAGCAGGAAGCCCAATTGACTGCCCTTGACCATAAACGGATTTGTGCAACGCCCCCCCCCCCCCTGTTAGGCAGTATTGTTGTCGTTGCGGGTGGCAAAAGCGACACCCGCGTCACGCCGCTCTGCCCTGGGTCGACCACTCCAGAAGAAGGTGTAGCCGGCACCCACCTCCTCCAGTTGGCCTTGCTCAGAGAAACGGACCTCGCTGAGTGCAGCCATGTCCATCTTGTAGCACACCAGTTTCCGAGCAACCAGCGCCATTCTCCGTTCCTGTCGGTTACTCCTCAGATTTTCTAAAAGGGAACGAACGTTCCAGGCTGCAAGGGTGAGCGGACTCACCCCCCCCCCCCCAGCCTGTAAGATAGGGCAGAGACGACGAGAGGAGGAGGAGGAAGACAGAGAGCATTGTTTCTCGCTTGGCGGTTTCGACCGTGTGTTTTGCATTTGCAGCTACGGTCAGCCTACAGACGGCGTAGATCTCCAGCATTTGTTTAGGGCACCGTTTCTAGCTCCTTCTCCCTCGTGGGCGTGAGCAGTACTCTCCCTAAATAGGGCTGCTTAGAAATCCCAGGCGGCTGCCGGACGCCATTACTTTGTTTAGTATGAGAACGACCCGAGTTGTCCTGATCTGTCCTCGGGGTCGCATGTCGTCCTCTTCGTAAGAGTTTCTAAAGTGAGTGGGAGGCAGGGAGGATGGAGGATTAGTTAACTGACTGCAAAAACGTAGACGGTAAGCAAAACGGTATTCATCAGAACGGTATTTAGCTTACCTGGTGGTCGCTTACTTTGTGCCCTCCTGAAGGTTTGCAGACAGAGGCGCTTACATTTGCAGCTGGCAGGTCTTCCAGCCACTGGGTCAGTTGATGGTTGAAAGGCAGGCCGTGAGCAGGCAAGGCCAACCTACAGTAGGTAGGCCAACTCATGAAATGTCAACCGAAATTCCGAAATGCGTTTTCGTTTCCAGACGATTAATTAAGTAGAACTTTAAAATTAATTCTTATGCAGCGTAATTCTATAACAATGCGGTTACCTCAGGATATCGGCTTTCGAACAAACGTCATTCCGGTTGCATACAAAAACTCTACATTGTAAAAAATGACTACTTAATAAGCATACATTTTTTCCATTGATTTTCGATGCCCTTAAAACTGCAATTATTTTTCATAGAAGGCATCCATAAAAATATTCATTCTTTTGCTTATTCGGTAGAAATTTACGTCTTCTTCCAATGTTTTACTGAAAAGAAAGGTATACTTTGGTTTTTAGAAACTTTTTAAAGTCCCGAATAATTCTACACCTAACCTGCAGTTACAATTGCATTCAATGTTTAGAAACTACAAACCATGTACTACTTACGTACGAAAAACCATACATTTTTCTACAATTTTAAGAGGAGACCATATAAGGTTCATAAAATTTAACAGTGGATTTGGGCCAGAGTGCTAACTTTACAAACCACATTGGTAAATGCAGAGACATGACGTTTGCATTAACCCCCATTCTCGGTCGTCTTGATACTGCTCTTCCGTCGGAACAAGGTGAGTTTTTGTCCATTCTCTGTAGCAGGGAAAACAGTTCTCTCACGTCACCGTTCTTGATTGCAAGGGTGACTTCGACATTTTGCTACTCTGCATTTTGGTATCCGCTTTAACTACCGGATGTCCCTAGTCGGGGAAATGTGTTTCGATGGCAGTCGCAGGAGTCACTCCGAAAGGGTGACTTCGATATTTTGCTACTTTGCATTTTGGTATCCGCTTTATTTACCGGATGTCCCTAGTCGGGGAAATGTGTTTCGATGGCAGTGATTGGAAGGTTGGCCAGCCGTTGAGCTTCTTTAACTACCGGATGTCCCTAGTCGGGGAAATGTGTTTCGATGGCAGTCGCAGGAGTCACTCCGAAAGGGTGACTTCGACATTTTGCTACTCTGCATTTTGGTATCCGCTTTAACTACCGGATGTCCCTAGTCGGGGAAATGTATTTCGATGGCAGCGATTGATGGCAGTCGCAGGAGTCACTCCGAAAGTAGCCAGTTTCCGGACGGCCAGAGCGGTCCTCCTTTGCGGCCATATGACCATTAAATTGAGTAAAAAAACATATTCCAGGCTGCGAAGGTGCGCAGGGTCATTCAGGGAGACTGAGGGGATGTAAGGTGATGGGGACGGGATCGTTGCTTCGACCGGCATATTTTGCATTCATAAACCACTGTCAGCGTGTTTGACTAGTATTTTAGGACGCACATTCTAACCTTCTCCGCCATGGAGAGCTAAGAAGTACTCCTCTAACTAACGTCGCTTTTTCATCTCAGGCCACTGCCGACCTTCCCCTTGGGTCGCGGGACTACTGCAGCGGGAAGACCCTGTTTACAGCGGGATTATCCTTGACCATCAACGGACTTGCTCAACGCCCCTCCTGTTAAGCAGTATCGTTTGAGGTGGTGAAGGAGGACAGGGACTATTTTAAGGACTGCCGGATTATTGGAACACAAGCCGGATAGCCTCATCCGGATTAGCCCGCCGACCACGGACGGTTACGGAAGCATGGTTGCCATATCGAACATAGCCTTGTGGAGCCACCGGATAGGAGTTGGGTGTCAGAGTCGGACGAGGTGGCGATATTCACCAGATTCATCGTTGCGTTTGTTGGGCGCCGTCACTGAATTGCTGACAGGTACTTGCTACTGTTGCACGTTTCGCCATGCGTGTGTTGCAGTTTTTAGCCGCTGAAGGGCGCAGATGCGAGGGTCTCGGCTTATCACTGGGTCCCCTAGCGTTTCCCATGTTCCTTCCAGTGCATTTTACAGTTGTCTTTTTAATTTTCTCGAAAAGTAATACGCCACCTTAGAGAAAATCTGTCAGGAAAAACCCTTTCAGGCTCGGCCCGGAAGTGTGTAGGAATATTTAAGCTGAAATCCATCAGCGGTAAGGAAAGAGTGAAAGCCCCCAAGCATCTACGGCACGCAATGAATGCCTACTATATTTATTTAAGTAGGCCGGGTTTATTAATTACTCGGATGTTCCACAACCTGTCATGACCTCAGTTGCAGTTCGCCTTACCAACAAATAACCTGTCATGATCTTAGCCTAGAGAATTGAGAAACGATCGTTTGACTTCACTTCTCCATAGAGGACGTTACGATTAGCATAACCATTAACTACCATTGGGTGCGCTGCGATATTTTAGACAGCATCCTGTGAATTGGGTCATTCATGTAATCGAGAAGCGATCACTCGACCTTATTCATCCATTGGGGACTTTGGTACGGCGGCCTGCTGCAGACTGTAACGATTCACTACACGATTCGTTTTGATTATAGTATCGCTTATATTTGTGATGCGTTCACATTGCATCGTTCTCGCGACGTAGATATCATGGCAAATCTATCCTTAGGTTGCGGTCTAAAATTCTTAGGTAACACAAGGAAAACGACTTGAGAGGACTATATAAAATACAAATTACTTACACTAATGTCACTTTCTTCCGCACTGGCTTTCATTTACACTGGGTATGCCTCTGCCATGTGAGACAGAAACACTTCCATCAGTCCCATGGTATTTAGACCAAACCACAGGCGATATTACACCGTATCGATATGCGTACATATGGCTCGCCCAGAGACCAGAACTCCTTCGTGAAGCTTCCTTTTCAACCTGCTCCAATTGGCCTCGATGGTGTGTGTGTGTTTGCCTGTGGTCGGGTCCCTGAAGTGGTTTGAATGATTGACGGCGTAATGCTGATAGGCCTCCGTCGGAGGCCACTGTACGCCTTCCATTCATCTGTTGCAATAATGCCGATTTCGTTATGGCAGATCGCAGGAATGGCCAACTTCTGTCATTCGCCTGCTCAAATAGGGCCTTTCGGCGGCTTGCATCATACATTCCCACCAGCAACCACTGCCTTTTATGTCTACTGACGTTGTACTTACCTCGGCTTATTGGCGTTTCGTCCACTTGTACCTCCACCCCTAGTTAGCTGATCTTCGTTTCCTGCAGGAGAGCGGTAGAGTACGCATTGAGACATTGTGCGTACTGTTCAACCGCCGTGATATGCGATAGGCCAGTATCTTTTCATAATCTGCCACTCGTATTCCTCTTAGAATGAGCAGCCATATGTTTGTGACTGTCCTGGTCGCCAGCCGATTGTTCTCGAATATAGAGCCGGCTCTCAGGGACCACCTTGTTCGGTACCGGACACATCGGAATACACATCCGTCCGAGTGGTGCCGTCGGACTTGTTTCATTTTGTTCCTACATTTACGTATCGATGCCGTCGGCAGAAGCCGTTTTCTCTGGAAGTAATCTACTACCATCTCCGCATTTATTTCTCCCAATATTTGTTCGCCATGATTTCGATAACGTGGCTGACCTCGAGCAATTCTTTTGGCTTTCGCTTCCGATGACCTATAATACTGAGTAAAAAATAGTCTATTGTAAAAAGACTCCTCGGTCGGATGTGGTTATGTAGCCCCACCTGAAGTAAACAAACCCCAATCACCTCTAATGCGGGACCGATGGTAACAGGGGTTTTTACAGTTGGGGCCGGGGACGCACAGGCGATGAGGTCCAGTAACTGCATGCCGAAGAAAAGCTAGGGTTCTATTAGTTGTATGCAAAAGAAAAGCCAATGGGAATGTGCGGTTCTACTTTGAATGGTCGTGAAGACGTTGCGCTAACCCCCAAACTATAACCCCTAATCATAAACCCTGCCCTAATTCATAACCCTAACATTTAACCCCAATCCCAACAGTATTGTGCCCATCAGGTGGGGCTACCAAACCACATCTTACCCACTTTCCGTCAGTGACTCTAAAGTGGCTACCGGAATATTTTGATGCCTACTCTATTCATAAAATTAGATCACACAGAAGAACCAAAGGAGTTTTCTTAGTACCCACTTTCTGGACTTTTATTCTGATAAATGATTCGGTCATATATCGCTGGACATTCCAATACCATGCACAAACTATGAGTGCGATTGGCTCCCTCACGTTTTCTAATTAGTTCTCATTGGTCGAATCCCCATGGTTACTTGTCCCGACGTAAACTATTGATTAATGCTTAACTTAACTTGGGTTATTTTTAAATGTCTGTTATTATTTATCTTTTTTATTGCCCTGCTTCTTTTCTGTTGCTGTTTGCAAGCGTACCAGAAGTTTTATGGTACACAACCAAATACCTCACTTACTTTCCAAAGTTTTTGCATTTTACACACCATCTATATACCCCACCCGCAAAGCCCCTATCACCGCCTTTCCCATAAGACAGGTGGCTGTGGTTAGCCGGGAACAATTGGTTGCCTTCGGCCTGCCGTTTCCCTATCAGCCTCAGTGTAATAAACGCATAATATTTATTAACTGTTAACTTACGGCCATTGGTACACAGATATTTCACGATCCACCGTACTGACAGTGTACGCACTAGTAAATAGCGCAGACACATTTTTAACAAAAAGTTGATGTAATTTTTGTCTGCGATTTCAGTTAGTTCTCGTCCTGTAAGTATGCTGCATCGGGTTATATTCGTATACTACCGACCACATGCTGACAGTTTGTGAACTTTACGCTATTATCCCCACCTGAAGATAATGTGTTTAGACCCCAAGATTCATATCAACCTTCCAACCGAGCCTGAAAAACTCTACTATGACGGACTTGCTCAAGCTGGATTACTAATTTCTGAAGAAACCTGAAAGACCAAAAACACACTTGGTGTGACCGTCATCGTGCCGGTCTAACCAGCCTGAATAGTTTTGAGTATGCTGCCTCATGCGTGGCATTCAAAGGCAGGATACCTTCGCCGTATTGTAACTTCATGTAGCTGCCGTCCAACCGCTTGGAGAAATGGTTGGTGACCGCCTAGATGCGATATGCGTTTTTACCCGTAAACAACATGCACCCCGTAGTTTTTAACTACAGCTTACTAGGAGTGACAAATCAAAGTTATTTTATGTGTAAATATGCTGCTGTATGGTAACCGGTATGAGGCTATATTTTGTTCTTTTCCAGACTTAAAAACATACTCAGTTATGCAGCGTGCACTGAACACATTGAAGCGTGCTCGAAGAATGTTACTGAGTGTCCTTTATTATTGGAACAAAAATTACTACTTTGTGGACGCAGTAACCATTTCAATACAACGTACGGTGGAAATGGTGTTTTTGTCACTTATCCGCAGTCCTTGATAAAGTTAGAAAAAAATTCAGTTATCAAATGGCAGGTGACATTGACCAGACATTGTTTTTGCTGTAAAGGCTGATGGCTTGATTAGCGAACTGCACCGGCTTACGATTGGAGCGCCCGTGTACAACTCAGTCGGTCTCCCCCCTTCTTCGACGAAGGTTCGATCATCATGGGAACTACAGGATTACTTGCACCCTACAAACTCATGTCGCCGATATCGATCTGCCAAGTGCACGGGTGAGGACGGAAGGCTGCTAAAAGTTCAATGTATGGGATAACCAACAAACCACAAGGCCCATTTCGTTGAAAGACATAGGGAACTCTTTCATAAAGTTATATTCCAGAAGGCAATTTGGCAAGCATACTCTGCTTTCGCTAAATTCTCTTCAGGCCTGTACATTTATATGGCTATTGAAGTAATGAATTAAAAGATACGGGCAAGTAGATAATTAAGCTGTAGCCCGAGCTACGTGAGACAGAAACACTTCCACCAGTCCCATGGTATCATCTGAGTGCTTACGTTGTGTGGCGATGGACGATGTTGTTGCGTGAAGCAGGTGCTGTTGGGGGGATGTGTGATGGTGTGGTACGAACAGCGGTGATCTACCACAGGTTTTCGTCACATGAGTACCCTCGACAATGACATAGGCTCACACGAACACCCAACTCTGTAGGCCTGATCGTCGGGTGTAGAATTAATTAGGTGCTGTTTCGATAAATTTAGGCCCAGAGTGTTTTACCTCGTTTACCGAATCAGGTACGTACAACTCGATGCTAAAGGTATGCCCATAGACCCTTATCTGCGACTGTTCCTGACGATGGGTTCGAGTGAGGCCAATAAATTGCCTGTTCCAGTGACCCAATCTTCGTCTTCTGAACTGCTACCTGGAAATCGCCTGTTCGCTTCTATCGGATCGCGTTGTAGAACTCACTCGTCCCGTTGTGTCTTGGAGCTCTCTCTCTCTCGAGCCCCGCCAGGAGCCGTGTAGCGACGCGTAGTGCAGACAGAATGGCACTACCAACAAAGACAAGAGAAACTGCAATTATTGTTTCCGGCTTATTAACCGTTGTGAGGCGGGCATAGTCAAACCCGATATGTGCAACACCTGGGGCTCCATCCGGCACCTGTTGGTTAGAAAACCAACGCCCCCTGACCTCTGGGCAACGGGGTCGATATCCTGTCGGTTTCGATGGGATATATACAATGCTAGGATGGCGCTGGCCGGTCGTGTTGTGCCTTGGGTTCTGTCAAGAATCCCGCTGTCTTTATTGGTAAGGACGTTGAACTCCGAGTTAACAGGTTGCAGTACCGAGCTCCGGGTGTTGCACACGTCGGTGTTGGGCATGGTTGGCTAACGACAGCTAATAAGTCGGAAATGACCATTCCGGTCTCTCTTGTTTTTGTTGGTGATACGCGTCACTACACGGCTGATGGCGGGGCTATTGAGGGAGCCCGTAAGGCACAACGGGATGAGTGAGTTCTGCAACGCAATCGGTGAGCGCCCTTCTGCCATTGAGTATGGCTGGCTTGCGACAGCTAATAAGGCAGAAATTATCGTTTCAGTCCTCCTTGCCTTTCTTGACAATCTGGTCCTAGGTATGACTCGAAAGAATACAAATGCCCCTACTGCTAAACCAGCCCGCAACAGCTCGATAGTAGCAGTTGCTTACAAAGATATGGGGGATAGCGGATCATTATCTGCATGACTGCACCATGGCTGCCTAGACCCGCATCTGTCCACCACCTAATTTGATTTACAAGAAGAAGCCCTGCCACAGGGCGGAAGTTATATTTCCAATATTTATACAGTAGATGAAACTGTCTGAAAATTCTGCAGTCTAGTGAGAGTTCTCTTAAATCCCCAAGCAACCCAAACTCGTGCTCACGCGCGCTGTCCTACAGTGGCTCGGCTTAGGTGTGGAATTAATAATTTCTCGTGACTGGCGGAGATCGGTAAACTGCTCACTTAAACCCAAAACTCCGTAAAACATCTCCAGACGTCTCGCAATGGATTTGCGCTGAAATACACAAGCCTTTAAGGGAGTCAGTGACACTGATCCTTTGTGTTTCATGCGTGTGAGTGCTTTCTACATGGGATTTTAGCTAAAAAGCTGACTGGTAGACCAGTTTTGGAAGCATCAATATACCTACAGTAGGTGTACTAACTCATTAAATGTTAGCAGAAATTCTGAAATGCATTTTCGATTTGAAAAGATTACTTAAGTAGGGTTGTACAACTAATCATCGTATAGCATAACTCTATAATAATATATTTACCTCAAGGTACTGGCTTTCGAACGAAATTCTTTTCGTCCACATTTAAAAACCACACTTGAAGTAGCCTGAATATTTCTCATTGATTTTCGATGCCCTTCAAAATTCAATTATATTTCATGGAAAACATACATAAAAAAATTCGGTAATGATCGGGAGAAGGCACCCAAATAATCCGTTACCTAGAAATACTGCCTTTAACAGTGGACTCAAACGCCTTCTGGATATATCAGCGGTTGCAAGCCTACTTTCACGCACTACTTGGACTTTCCGCGACGGCTTAACATGAGCTGACCGAACGAACATAGCAGGAGGTTACATGGACGATGGTCGCTCTTACCCAAACATCCCCATCGTTACACATGTACACCTGAATGTACGGCATACATTCGAATTAAGGCAGTTTATTACAAAACAAAAGCACTTTTAAATAGAATAAGTTTGCACAACATGGGACAGGAACAGTTCCCAAGCATCTGTCAAAGACATGGCATTGAGTCCAAGCCAAAGACGATACTGTACTTCGTCTATGTGAGCCCACACAGCTGGACCACATTCAGGGCCTCCTTCGTGGAGTTTCCTTTTCAGTCTACTCCAGCATGCCTCAATGGGATTGGTGTGCCGTACGTTGATAGGGTCCTTGAAGTTCTTTGAGTGATTAACAGAGAAATGTAGATAACCTTCTGAGGGAAGACGATTATACGCCTTCCACTCGTCCTTTACCAATATACTGCCTTTGGCGACCCATTTTGTAATAACGGAACGGATAGTGGGCTAACTTCGATCATTCACGTGTTCAAATAGTGCATTCCTTCGACTAGTATCGTACATCCCGATCGGCCACTACCCATAAAACCCCTATTACTACCTGTCCTGTAAGACAGGCTGTTTTGGTTAGGCGGATTTTTTTGGGTGCCATCGCCCGATTGTTACCAAAAATTCATTCCTTTACTCATTTGGCAAAGGATTACGCCTTATTTCAGTTTCATAATCGAGGAAAGGTTATAATTCGGTTTTTAGAAAGTTTCTTGTCATGAGAGTTTTTAATACCGTAAAATGTCCGCTCATAAAACATCGTTTCTTTGCATTTGCTAATGTGGCTTATAAAATTTACAATATGCCTTAAATGCACTGCTTAATTTTATGAATCCCGCATGATCTCATCTAAATACTGTAGAGAAATGTATGGTTTTCCGTACGCGGAAAATAAAAAGCTCGTAGATTGGATACCCTGAATGCAAGTTAAACTGTAGGTCAGATTTAAAATTATTCTGGAATTGGAAAAGCTTTTGAAGACCGAATTATACCCTTCCTTCGATTATAAAATTGAAAGAAGACGTAATCCTTTGCCAAATGAGTAAAAGAATGAGTGCTTTTAAACATGTTTTCCATGAAATTTAATCGCATTTTAAAGGGCACAGAAAATCAATGAGAAAAATGTAGGCTACTCCAAATAGCCTTTTTTACAGAGTGTGGTTTCTACATGCGGTCGGAAGGAATTTCGACTAGATCGCAGTTGGTAGCCAGGCCCCGTATTGCAGATGGCTGAGGGGTTTGATTACTGGGGCTATTTTGCGGGGCTCCATAATCACATCTGACCTATTATTCTTCCGTTTTACGTTTGAGGTTAGGATTGGGGTACCGGTTAATGGTTTCCGATTTTCGGTTTAGGATTATGCCCTTCGGCTTATGTTTTCGGATTACGTTTGAAAGCCGGCATCCTGAAGTAACTGAATTATTATAGATTTGTGCTGCATGATCATTACTTCTACAACCCTACTTAGGTTTTCTTTTCGAAACGAAAACGCATTTCAGAATTTCGGTTAATAGTGGTTAGAGGCGTTGGACTTCTTACTAACAGGCCACGCGTTCGAGCCCCACGTTTTCCACACTTCGGGACTGACGACGGTTAATAAGCCAGAAATGGCCATTCAGTCTTCCTTGTCTTTGTCGGCAATATCATTCTGGTTAACATTGCGTGAGTTAGCACAACTACTGTACGTCGACCTCGCCTCAGCTGCTCGTATTGCGTGCGCGTAGGCAAATCCATTCACCGCGTGGGTCTTTTCGCCATATGCACCTGCATGATGGTCTGCTGTGAAACAGCGCTCACCAAAAACTCATGGAGATCCTTCTTAATGTCGCCTCCATGGCAACCGCATTCAACTGGGATCCGAGTCGCCCCTTGCTTCTATGAAAACCTGGCTCATCGTGCGCAGCGAAGGCGCTCATGGGATGTCAGCCACCGGATCTGTACCCGCCACCGGTCTTCACGCCGGGCTCATGGTAGATGGTACGGTAGATGGTGTTCAAGCCAATTCTCACTGGATATTCACTCATGCGCACTTCACTGACTCTGCGCTCATCATGCCGTGGGACACACGATAGTCGCTCACAATAGAAGCAAAGAGACGAGTCCCAGACAGCAGTCTGGAAGAAGGAGACACGATCGCTGGGACAAGAGCTTTATTAGCCTGACTCATATCTTCTTGCGTCTCTGATGATGGGTTCGAGCAGGAATCCGAGACGTCAGGCTAATAAGGCTCTTGTCCCAGCGATCGTTCCTCCTTCTTCCATAGTCGTTCACGTCTATATAACTGTCAACCGCTACCTGCACATCCATGTTTCCGTTTTGAACGAGCACGCATTCTATATAACTTGACTGAACCGAAAAGTTTTTAAACTGGCAGAATAGTATTACCGACAAAGACAAGGGAGACTGGAATGGCCATTTCTGGCTTATTAGCCGTCGTCAGTCAGCCATACCCAAGCCCGAAGTGTGGAACACCCGAGCCTCGAACTCGCGACCTGTTGGTTTAGAAGTCAACGCTTCTACTCACCGGGCCACGAGCCCGTTGCCTTGTCGGTTTTCGATCGGGAATATACAATGTTAGGGGGCGCTCACCGATCGTTCATACGGAGCTCACTCGTTCCGTTGTGCCTTATGGACTCTCTCTCGAGCCCAATCAGCAGCCGCACAGCGGCGCATGAATGGCAGCCATATAGGGTGACAGTAGGCATTTTATGTCAACGCATTCTATTATGTGAGCTCAAATTGGTAATTTAAAATTTTGGTTCCTCCGTCGATCTCAAGGGTCCCACTATATCTTTGAAAAACCGTAGTCTGTTAAAAGTGTTTTACCCTTTCTTTGTGTTGAGTCTAAGGGACAAAGTTTCGCCTGGATACGAGTAGAAAGTTCTGAAAACTATGAATGTATCTCTTTTTCACAAAATCTTTTTGCCAAGCCTCAAAAAATGCACAGCTCTTGAACCTTGACACCTGAAACTCTCCCCATAGGACGATAAAGTGGTTCGCGTGATATTTACAGTTTATAGTTCTAGGCAGCTGTGGACTTTACCCAGGTGAGGAGAGGCATATAAGAGGGTGGGGACGCAGTCGACCTTTGTCGTCCACAAATTGTAGGTTGGATCATGCTTGCCACACTACCGAAACCCTTACTAGTGGTCGCCGTGGTTGTGTTTGCGACGCAAGCGTTGGTTGTCCCCAAACCAGGGGCTCAGGCTCCCCAGGAACACGCCGCAACTGCGAACCAGGCGCAGCTAAAAGTAACGCCTCAAACACAGGCATCTGAGGTGCTGCTTCTGCTGCGAAGATTACGTCCCAGCATACTGCGGGAACTCTCAAACTTGACGCAAGGAGACGACCCAGTGGATCGCGAGGCTGCTGTTGCAGCCTACATTCGAGAAGCTGAGAATAGAATGGCCATTGCAGATGTACTTAAAGCCTGCATAAAGTTGCGGGCAGCTCTCTTGACGGGAAGTACCCACGGCAGAGAATTGAGTAAACTGCTAACAAAACTACAAAAACGTCTGACGAGTCTGCGTGAGAGGTTGATTGAGGCGGCAGCTAGGAGTCAGGTCCCAGAGGGACTGAACCAGCTCCTCAGGGATCTGGGACTGTCGGCCGTTGAGAGGGAAGAAGTCATTGAGACCTTGAGCGATGTAATCGCCGAACAAGCACAACCGTCCCGCCGGAGGTTTGATGATCACAAGCAGGAAATCATTAGTTTCCCCATTAATATCTAGGCTTCTTTGGAAGACAATCCTCTTTTTTCCATGATTATTCTTTCTAGCCACTTGAAATCAAATATAACTGTCTGTAACCAAAATAATTACACCAATTCACTTGATGCAACAGACCGAGAAACAAGAAATCGGTGCAGGTGTCTACTGTTATGCGAGACCAATAGAATACGAATATAGCCTGGTAACTGGAAATACTGAGGACGGAGTAAAATACCCGGGGTAAAAAGTTAACCGTAGGGTTAAAACAGGCAGGATACTTTGACAATTTATGAATTTTCTCATTTTCTACTGGCGTTTCTGAAAGCGGACTGGGCGTTTATTCCAATGGCTCTGTTTCCAAACGGAGCATCTGCGTTATTCAATGTCAACCTCGAAAGGGAGGGGGGGGTGTTACTTTTACCTTTGTGCAACGGCGAAGATATATGTGAAAACACTTTAAATCTAACACACGAATGGTAATATAAGCCCATGTAGTTCACGGTCATAGATTGTTTCTAGCTGGTCCAGAGCCCTAGGTTAAAGTACTGACTTTTCGAAATTGAGAAAGTTTAACGCAATTTCAGACCCTTTAGGTTGTTCATCTTTGAACTTCTTTTTCGGCGTGGAAAACGATTCAGCAGCCGTTGCACACCGTGCGGTGTAGGTAGCCAAGATCACATAGAGAACCATATCCGCGTACATTCGCTTTTATGAAGGTAAAATTTAAAAGTGGAGTCAAAGTAGGAAACCATATCTTGAGGTGTTCTTTTCGTATTAAAAATATTACTTCCACATAACGACGTATACAGTCGTTCCAGATTGCCTTTTCAAAAAAGGACACGAAGAGATGAAAACGCAGAAACTATAATCTAATATATCATAGCTTACGGACTCGTGTAATTACTCTTTACCAGGAGAGACTGGCAGTATTGAAGAAGTTCGTCACCGATACGTATGCGTATGGTCGAACACAGCATCTCCTGTGTGGGCAGAACGATCATAGCAGTTTGAGAACAAAGACGCATGGAGGCGCGACCTCCGCCAAATGAAAGTTCGCTGGACCGGCCTATCCGTAAACTGGTGTTTCAAACAACTTGCACGTCTATCCACTGTCAAAGTTGAAAATGCCCAAGAGTTCTGACAGGAGCGCAAAGTTACAAATCGCCCAAAACATGCAACAGTCCGACCGTTGCGGACGGCTAAATTCACTGCGTCCACTGTGGAGTGGTCTCAGCACAGGGATTTGCGCGTGAATTAGTTTATAGTGAGACGGACTTGCGAAGCATCTACGGCACTCCTTTTTCACCCTCCAGACCCCAATGACAAAAAACTGTCAAGACGATCGGCGACGCGTTCAGGTGAACTAACTGGTAAAGATAAACAGCCCATCTACGTGTTTTACTCATGGCCTGGTTTCTGCTGCATGTCCCAGGCTACTGTAAGGACGGTTGAGATCTCATGTGCGTGAGAATGCCATAGGGGCCGCAATAGGAAGTAGCCATTTCGGCTTGACTTTCAATATTGGAAATGTCCGAGTTATCCCGTTAGTTGACAGCCGTGGGAGGTTAGCGCGCGTCGTATACAGTGCGTGACCGATCTCACGAAATGTTAGCCGAAATTCTGAAATTCGTTTTCGATCAGGAAGGATTACTTAGGTGAGTTTGTAATATTGATTGGCATGCGACATAATTCTATAACATTTCTGACTTGCCAGGATGTCGGCTTTTGGACGCATTCCTTCTTGACCTCCAGCAGAAACCGTACTCGGTAAAAAATGACTGCTTAAGTCGCATGCATTTTCCTATGGATTTTCGATAGTATTGTAAATTCAAATGTATTTTTTATGGAAAACGTGCACAGAAATATGCTTTCTGTTACTCATTTGGTAGAAAATAACAGTGTCTTTGCATTTTATGCACGGAGAATCTGCATATTTAGGGATTAAAAAACTTTCCCAATTCCCGATTATTTTTGAGCCCGATCTGCCATTGCATCAGTGTTCAACGATTTCAGTCAACAAGGTCCTTGCCTTCCGCGTAAGGAAAGGCATATATTCTTCTATGCCATTAAGAAGATACCACGTAGAGTTCATAAAATTTCGCAATGGATCCTAACTGTATTGTACATTTCATGAGCGGCAGTGGTAAACGGACATGTGCGGTACTGTATGCATGGACATAGCAGGGTCTTAAAAATCTCACAATTAGAACATTTTTGAAAACCTAAATTTAAAATGCAAAGGCAATGTTATTTTCTACTAAATAATTGAAGGAAAGCTTATTTTATGCACATTTTCTATAAAAAGATATTTGAATTTATAAGACCATCGAAAAGCCATAGGAAAATGCATACGACTTAAGTAGTCATTTTTTTACCGAGTACGGTTTCTACTGGAGGTCAAAAAGGTGTGCATCCAAAAGCAAACGCCCTGACGAATCAAAAATGCTATAGGATGATGCCGCATGCTAATCAATATTGCAACCCCACCTAAGATATTCTTCCTGATCAAAAACGAATTTCAGAATTTCGGCCAACATTTCATGAGATCGGTCACGCACTGTATATTGTAGGACGAAATGCGCTGATGTGTCATGAGAAGGGATTTCCCATTGTTGGCTCCACTATCTCTTCTCTCTCTCCCATATAGTAGGCGACTCTCCGAGGCTATCAAACATTTTGTGCCGGGATTGCCTCATGAATCCCACGCCTTGACGTTCCACCATATTTCCCGCGTCCGTATCACTAGTTGCTGGTGTCGCGTGCTCGTTTAACGCGTGCTGAGACCCAATAGGACGCCCACTGTGGTCCAGCGCACCTGCGGTACGGCTAGTTGTCGGGACAAAAAACGTGCATTACGACTGATGCGCGTCGAATTCGCGCCACATAACAAGCGCTGTGTGGTCGAGCCGCCTCATAATTGGAGCAACGGTGAGTACATCCACCACAGAGACAGAAATCCGGGTTGATTAACTAATCCTTTTGGACTTTTGAAGCTGAAATCGTGAATTAGTCAATAATACTGTGAATAAACTATTGTTCCAAAGTATCGACTGTTCCATGTTAACAGAAGGCTAATCCGACTGTCACGTTAAATG